TGTTCTCCATTTAAGAATAGTTAATTGTTTTTTTAATTTTCTCGACATGTAGGCCCTGGGATGTCCCTCTCGAGTAGTAAACTGATAGCTTCAATGAAATCTGAAACATCCATTTCCGCAGCAAAAGGGGAGAAAAAAAAAAAACAACACTTCTTAGTTTATGTTCAAAAGTCATGTTCCCTTGTTAAAAGACCATCTCTCAGACACACGTACAAGCATCAACAAAGACATCACTCCTGGGAAGTCCTTCACTTCTCACATCAATTTAGGCGTTTAATTGCTCCATCATTCATTGCATAGCACCTACTATCACAAATCATGCAATCCAATTTATTTCTAAGAATGAGATGAAGAGAGATTGAATCAATGTAAAATTGGCAGAAGTCTTGTACTCAAACAAGAAAAGAAAGATAACCCCTATTATCAAGCCTGTGTAAAATAAAGGGGAAAAAACTATGTATACACAAAACTATATTGCGAGCTGAACATTCTTCATTTACAAATGAACTGAATTAGAACAAATAAAAATAGAATCTTAATGTTCAGGATCACATATACATACATAAAACTACATAACTTTCTTTTCTTCGAAACTGCAACATTCGCTTGTCCTTTGCAACAGAGTGTAGACAGTAATTCCATAATCCTTCTAACGAGGAAATGGCTGAGAGATCGATGCTTCATTCAATGATGCTTGAACAGATTGGTTTTTGAGTTCATTCAATGTTATTGCCCCTGAATTATACTCTCTGGACCTGCTGTAGGAAAAATTTCTACTATTCATGTAGGAAGCAGGTTGAGAAGGCAAAGGAAAGGTAGCAGAGTAGCTGTTAAGCATGACTTCAACTGAAGCCATGGTTGGTCTGTCAGCTACATCATCTTGAACACAGAGCAATCCTATGTGGATGCATCTCATTATTTCATCTCTTGAACCTCCCATAATTGCGGGGTCCACAATACTTGTGGCTGTTCCTTCCCTCCACTTTCTCCATGCCTGTAAATTAAAAGATATCACAATAGAAATTTCAGCTTTTTACTTCTACAAAAATTTCTAGCCATATGCTTCCAAAGAAAAGGAAGATAAATAATGCAAAGCTACACTTACAAAGCTGACTAGATTCTCTGCATTCTCGCCTTCAAAAACCTCACTATTTTTACGGCCAGTTACAATCTCTAGAACTAGAACACCAAAGCTAAAAACATCCGTTTTTACTGAGAATTGTCCATGCAGTACATATTCAGGGGCCATATATCCACTGCACATATTTAAGGTGTCATGCAATAATTAGTATGGAAAAGTTCAATTAGATATAAATGTAAAAAACTTTTCTCTAATTGTCTTGGCACTAAAGTTTTTGGATAACTTTTTGGTCTAAAAATATTGGCATACTTACAATGTTCCTACAACTTTACTTGTATTGTCTTGAGTTTGGTCCCTTCCAACTAATCTTGCCATACCAAAATCTGATATTTTGCATTCATCTCTGCATCTAAAAGAACGTTACTTGCTTTGAGATCACGATGAATAACTCGCAAGCGAGAATCTTCATGAAGGTAAAGAAGTCCTCTAGCAATGCCTCCTACAATTTTGTATCTTGTTTCCCAAGATAACTGTGCACGCTTGATTGGATCTGCATATCAAGCAAACATATAATCTTTTGAGCTGTTTGGAATATGTGTAAACCTATATAGGCTCAGCAGACGTGGTGTATTAGACACAGTCCAATCGAGAACAAGTGTTGACTTACCAAATATGAAGCAATCAAGACTTTTATGGGGAATAAACTCATAGACTAGTAGTCTTTCTTGCCTTTCTAAACAAAAACCAAGTAGTCTAACTAGATTTCGATGCTGAAGCTTGGCTACTAACAGCACTTCATTCTTAAATTCTTTATCCCCCTGGGAAGAATTCCCAGACAACCTTTTCACGGCAATTTCTTGTCCACCAATAAGCTTACCCTGAAAATAGTTAGAGATTGATGTTTATGATTCATGACCAACTATCGTGGTGTCTAACCATTTTGGCCAGAGCAAGACATGGCATATTTTCGACGTAGCATTGTTATCATTACCTTGTAAACAGGTCCAAATCCGCCTTGTCCTAGCTTATTTTCTTCAGAAAAGTTATTTGTGGCAGCTATGATGGCATCATAGTTCAAGTGCAATGTCTCAGATGACCTCATTTCACCGTCAGCTTCAAATTCATCATCTGAAAATGACTTTAAAGTGAGCTACTCAACTTTGTGGAAAAAGCACATTGTTGCGGAAACTTTAAGATTTATGCTAATGATTATGTCTGTGTTTTTACTTATTACTGATTGTAATGGAATCAAACATACTTTAACAATTGGGGAAAAAAAGTATTTTATTATTCCTTTTAAATCATTGGTAAGTAAAACTTTAGGAAATTACTTTACGCCCTCATCCATGGCATTTTGTGACCTTTCTACCGTTTCATTTCACAACGTAACAAAGGATGCTTAACTCAGCAAATCTCAGGAGACTATCTTGACTTACTTTTGATATGTTTCCGCGGTTTCCTCATTCGTAAACAGATGCAGACAAGGACGAGCAAGACAATAACGGAAGCAATTGGCACAACTATGGCAATTATAGTTCGTGATGTGTTGCTCTTTCCTGCAAAAAATACGATAATTAAGATGTTCAGAGAATTGAGGATAATAAGACAAGGAAACCAATATGAGCACAGCAAACAGAGGAAAGGCCACCATTAACAAGATACTACGTATCCGGCATCTAAATTTTCAGCAGACTGCTCATCATTCCTCCCATCAGATGAAAAACCCCAACAAGAAAAAGGTCGTCAAAATTATATATGATGGAGCCCTATTAGATGCTATTAGCTTGATGCTTTTTGTGTAAAAAATTCTAAGCATAAAATGAGAGGTACCTTCTGATGGTGGTGTTGAATCACTGGTAGCGTTGAAGAAGCGGTAGTCTTCATATCTAAAATTACAGCTTGGTCTTAAAATTCTACCTCCAATCTTGCCACCAGAACATTGTGGGAGTCCTGAGATTGCCTCGACCAAGCAGTCACTGCACTGATCTGAAGATAGATCAGGTGTACACTGCACGAGACCATACAGAGTCTGAAAGTCTGGGCCTTCAGCGTTTGCTGCAGCAAACTTACGAAGAGAGCTCCCTGATGAAGCCGTCCTACTTAAACCATCCAGCAAATTCCTTAGCGCTTTGTTGAACTGATCCACACCTGTTGCATTCTTAATGTTCCACATGCAAAAGGAAGGCAAATTTTCCACGGTGTTAAAAATTGAACGGTTTGAATAGCGTAACATGCAATTGTCATAGAAACCAATCGCCTCCATCTGATTTGGACAGAGCCGGGTGAGGAGGGTTCTAGAATCATTGAGGCAACTGCGGCATATATCTAAGGCAACATCTCCTCTGCACAACCCTATTGCATTAACCTTGTCGGAGTTTTGGCCATAAGAGAAGTTGTAGAAGCCATAGTCAATTTCTGTGTTGGAAGCAATATTGGACAAAAGAGTATTGAGGTTGGTCTGGTAGGCACTATTAGCAGTGTAGTTGCCATTACCCTCGTTACAGTAATGATACAGGAACTCAGGCTGGGCAGTGACTTGAGATATGAGTATGGGAAGGATACAGAGAAAGGAAAGCATTCTAAGAGAAACCAAAGCCATTTCTATGGTTGTGATCTGGAGGAATGGCTTGTAAGTGGTAAAATATGGAACATTAGGTGGGAAACTAATGATCAGGCCTGAGGGATGGCTGATTGAATAGTATGTAGTCCGATTTTGTTAAATACCTTCCTTGAAACATTCAAAACCGTGGCTTCGGCATAAACATAAACACTTAATGTACAAATCGAAGAAGAAAATTAACTTTATGGTTTTGGACTTTCTTCTCTAAAGCTCAACCGGCCAATTTAATCCAAGTTCTAAGCATAGGTTTGACTGAGCACCTGCGTGTTGGCATCAATAAAACCACATCTGATTAAAAAAACACGCTGACACCTTGGATGGTTGACCAATACAGCTCGGGACACCGATATCTGACATTACGGTTTGAAGCTGATAGTGACTAATGTAGCTGCTGAAACCCGAAACAGCGTTTCTTTGGTCAAATCCGACATATTCAAATAGTTAACCGCAAAGCTGGACTTTTTCTCAGCAAATTTGGTAGGGGAAAATTGCATATTCATTGTTATTTTTGTTTTAGTGAAGTGTAATAAAAGAAAACGATTGAGACCGAAGTGGTAGCCGACGAAATTTGAGAAGCAGCACGCAATAAAAGTCAAGGCTTTATTTTAATGTTATCTTGAGAATCTGGCCTTCGGGGAGAATGGAGCGATCGTTTTCTTCCGGGCCCCTGGTTTCAGCTGGGCAGGTCAGCGACCCTTTTTTTTAATTAAAAAAAAAACTAAAAGGGGAATAAATTGACAAAAAAAGAAATTATAAGCGGCACATAATTACACAACTCGTGACTTCCAGGACAGCGTGGCTACAAGGCTTTTGATAAGGTCAGCGGCTTTAAATTGTCAGTAATTTTTTTTCTTTTTCTTTTCGCTTAAAAAGTCAGTATTCAGCGGCCTTTTTTTTATTGATAGGCCTTCAATTTTCTTGAAGCTGATCACTTTACTTGCACAAATCGGCTTTTGAATTAGTATTCTATTGAGCATTGAGCAACAAAATTGAATCGTTCGTACATTAAAACCACTGAACTTTTATGTAGCCGTATTTTTATTCTCTCCAGAACCAGCAAGTATTTGATATTCCATTTTATTATCAAAATTTAAGGATTCAAAGTCAGTAAACAAAAATTTCAAAACTTTGTTTTTGGGTCTATATATGATTGGTATATTGAATTGAGTTATTTCTAATATTGTCATAAATTATTAAAATTATAGAGCTTTTAAGTCAAACACATAATATTTAAAACTATTTACTTATTCATTATTCAATCAATTTTGCAAAGAATCATTTCTCCATGCCTGAATCAACCAACTAATAATATTTGATTAATTCACAATAATTCCAATGAACTCAATGACAGAGAGACCTGTTCTGTACAAAAACTTGCTGAGAGAATCATCCAACACGGATAAATAAACAAAGCATATTGGTAGAAATCGACCTAGAGTCATATCACCGAGGGAAAGAATTAGTGATGGACAAATCATTTACGGAGTATAAACATGCAGAGCCTGAACTGGATTCCCCTGCCATTCCATTGTTCATAAAAAATGCTGGTTGTCGAGGGAGAGGCAGATCGGCTGAAGGACTACTAAAATATGAAACAACGTTTGCCATTGTGGGTCTATCATTTGGATTTTCTTGGACGCATAACAAACCAATCTGAATGCACTTCATGACTTCGTTATGTGGGCAAGCTTCTTTTAGAATTGGGTCCAGGATTTCTAATGGTGTTTGATCCCTCCACTGTCTCCAAGCCTGCAACATGTTTGTTGAATCAGATCTTTCAGTCTTACTTTTGTTTTTTTTCTTTATCATCTCAATATACAATGAAAATGATGAAACTTGCATCAACAGAAATATCAGAAATCAGTACTTACATGACTGATAAGGTCATCAACATTATGTGAGTCAAGCGATCGTGCATTTCTTTTTGCACTAATTACCTCCAAACTTATGACCCCAAAACTAAAAACGTCAGACTTTTCAGAAAATTGTCCATGCATTGCATATTCTGGAGACATATAACCACTGCAAAAGAGAATATTATTAGTAAAAGCAAAATTAAAGTCTCATTTTTATCAATGAATAGGCTTTAGTAAGCATAATCTATTTATGATATTTCTCAAACAAATTGTACCACTCATGAACAGTCTAACTCATTCTTCAAGCTTTATACAACACAAATCACAGTAGTTTTTTCTCTTTTATTTCTAAAATTGCGCCAAGAGGGTCTTGGGGCTTTGCTTAAAACAAGTGGAATCACTTTTAAAAAAATTATGTTCCTAAAATGGCCCTTATTTCTAGCACATTTAGATCACACACAATAAGATTAAAAAGAATATAAGGAGATAGAAAAGCTTCGGAGTCACTCACTATGTTCCAACTATTCTTCTTGTTTTCACTTGACCATGATCTATAGCAACTATCCTTGCCATACCAAAATCTGAGATTTTTGGATCCATGTTATCATCCAACAACACATTACTAGGTTTGAGATCGCGGTGTATAACTTTGAGTCTTGAGTGCTCATGTAAGTAAAGAATTCCTCGAGCAATTCCTTCCATGATTCTGTAACGCTGAACCCAACTCAGTGGTTGTCTTTGAGAATCTGTAAACCGTAAGTCATTCAAGTAATCAGAAGAGAGGTGCGTATTTTTCCTTCAATAAGTTGAATCAGATTAATAAATGCTTCCTTTTCTTTTTTTGGTGAGAAATAAATGCTTCCTTTGACAAATGAATGAAAAGAAGTTCCATACCGAATAAAAAATAATCAAGGCTTTTGTTGGGCACATATTCATAAACAAGCATTTTTTCTTCTGCTTCCAAGCAAAATCCTAATAAAACCACTAGATTCCTGTGCTGAAGCTTGGCTATGAGCAAAATCTCATTCTTGAATTCTATTGAACCTTGTCCTGAAGTTTTAGAGAGCTTTTTAACAGCTATTTCTTGTCCGTCTCGAAGAACACCCTGAAATTATGGCTCCTCTCTGTGAAGTTTATTATAAGAAAAAAGAGTGTAGATAATTAGATATGTTTTTTCCGACATTGCTTTACCTTGTAAACTTCTCCAAATCCTCCTTGGCCAATCCTGTTCTGGTGTGAAAACTTGTCTGTCGCTACTTCAAGCGTAGCCAAACTAAATTGCAATGACTCCAAAGCGCCGGTTTCTTTCCCAACTGGACCGACATAAAATTCACAAGTAACAATGTTTAGTCGTTCATTCTTTTCATTAATTTGAAGAGCGTGAGATTTTGTTTGTCCCCCCCCCCCCCCCACTCACAATGTTCGCTTAGAGTAGTTTTGTAACTCTTCCTTGATCTGCCCAGCAGGAAATAGCAGCCTAAACACGAGAGAATTATAAAAACAAGAGGAAGGATAACAATCATGGCGATAGTTCCTGATCCATATTTCTTCTTTCCTGCATAAATAATTTCCAAGAAAAATATTCAAGCTTTTGTAATTTAAGAAGTTAAAAAGAAGAAAGCAGTCATAACAAATGTATAAAAATCCTTGTTTTGACCATAACAGGTACAGAAATAAAACGGTCTTGTTTGTTTGCACATATTTTGCTAAAATTTAAAGAATTGGTTATGAAGAAGGTAAATTACCTGGTGACGAAGTGGTTGAATTGTAAAATTGGGACAGCTCGTATCTCACATTACAGGTTGCAAGCAGAACTCTCGCGCCTTGTCTTCCCCCACAGCACGACGGAAGAACGCCGACAGCATTCTGCAAACACGTCTCACATTGTGGGGAGCTCAGTTCCCCCGAGCATTGCGCAAGCCCGTACACCGTCATCGACCTCGTAACCCTCACTTCCCGAGTCCCGAATTTCTTCGCCGTCTCTGAATTAGCAGCTTGTGTCCCCAAATCATTCAACAATCTGAACAACGACTGGTTGAATTGGCTAATGTCAGTGTTAGATACGCTTTTACCGTCTGTCAAATTCGTTCCGGGAACAACGCTTCCAGACTTGAAGTACGAGTTGGTGAAACGCAGCGTGCAGATGTCGTACCAGAGGACAGCCTCTGTTTGGTTAGGGCATCGGGAAATGATGTCATTGGCGGCGGCAGCAACGCAGTCTCGACAAGTGGCGATGGCGATATCGCCGCGGCAGAGGTAGTAACCGTTGACGGCGAAGGGGGTGCCGGCGCCCATGGCAGTGTCGTAGGAGCCAGAGGAGTCTTGGGAGGCGTTGGAGGAGAGAGAAGAGAGGAGTACATTAATATTACGTTGAAATGTGGAGTTGGGTTGATACGTGACCGTGTTGTTGCAGTAATGGCCATTGTAAACGGGAGTTGCGCGAGCTGGGGTTGCCAAGAATGTTGCGAAAAGAAACGTCGTAAGGGAAAGAAGAGAGTTTGTGAACAGAAGCATGGTGGGAATATAATAATGGAGTCTCTGTTTTTCTTAATGTTTGTTGAAAAATGAAGATTGAAGGGAAGAAGGAAAGTGGCCAGGCCATGCACAGAGATTATGAATGGGAACGAAGGATCAAGTTTTGACAAGTCCGAACTCTGAAGAGGGAAGACGCCGTAGAAATGGCGATTTTGACAACTGACGAGTCGGGTGGAGTCTCCCTTGGCGGGCCTCTTCAACACTCGCGCCGATCTGACATTTATTCATAGCACGACCGGTAAGATACCAAGACATTCATGTACTCTTCCGGTTCTAATTATAAGACCCAATTAATTTATTTGAAGAGATTAATAAAGTAAGTTAAGTTGGTTATTTATAATAAATAAGTGTTTTCATTCCTAAAATATCCTTGCTAATTAAGTATATTGGCTAAAACTATTATTATTAGAAAGATTATCTTAGAAAAAAATGCATAAATATAAGAGACAAAATGGATTAGATCTTATAATTAGGACCAAATAAAAAATCAAATTGGGTCTTATAATCAGGACCAGAGGAGTATTAGATTTTTCAATCAAATTTAAGCATTGTTATGAGGGATAAATGAAAAACTTTTTATACTTTATAAACTATATATAATTTGATTACTTGCAAGAGATTTTTATATACATAAAGCCATAAGAAATGCGAACTTTGAAATTAATTGATGGACATACATGCATCGTGTGTGATATAAATAATTAAGTAATATTACTAAGCAGTGAAATTTGGTAAAAATTTTATGCTTTATATTAATACTAATATTGATTGATATTTTTTTTTTTACCAGGCTAATATTGATTGATATATACTAATGATATTAAAATAATATCATAAATATGCCACTCAGTTTTAAAATTATACCATGAGTGACAAGAAAAATGCAAAGAGAATTATAAATAGGAACCAATTTTGATTATTAAAAAATTATCTTAAATCTTGAAATTAGTTTGGTCCTTTTCTTAAAAACAAAGAAAGAAAGATGTAATGACAAAACTGATGACATCGAAGAGGAAGATCTGCACAAGTTTTCCAAAACAGAAAATAGTCATGTGAAGGGAAATTACGTGTTGATACCAAATTTAGTACTAAACTGTAGCGGTGAGGCTAAAGACAAATATCTGCACAAGATTTTTTTTTTTTTACAAAGAAGAAATATATAGATACAAGAGCTCTGGATTTTTAAATATTTATGGAGATGAACTTATGAAATTATAATGTTGCAGCACCTGTAAATTTTTGAACAGGTTATACAGATATTTATTTTTCGCCCCACCCGTCACCCCTGTAAATACAAGTTATTAGTGGAATGAAAAGAAAAATTATGAAGGGTTGTGGCATGTTCATCCTATAAAATTTTCACCGAATGTAATTGGTATTTTAAAATTTTGGTTGGCATATTGTTCCTTAAAAATTTAAAAAATTAGTGAAATATTGTCCTATAGGAATGTTTAACCAACGTTAATTGTTACTTGAATAATTTTGAGAATTAAAGCACCATTTTCCCCAGAAGTCCGTGACAGTGAGAAATTATTATTTTAAAATTTTGATGTGTATAAAAAATCTTAAGATTTTCATTGAGGTATTATTTTTGAATTATCGATATTCAAATCACAGTAAGAATTCAACAACTCGTTATAACTCATAATCACAGGACGATTAGGACTTTAGGTTTTTTGATACTACTGTTTGTAATGATCCTTTGAACTAATGGTATTCAGTTTTTATTTAAAAAAAAAAAAACAAGATTTTGAGTTGGATTTTGCCTTTTGTCTGTTTGCCAACTTACAAAGTGAGGTCCTAAAGATACGTGTCCTTGGCAAAATTCTTGCAAGCAACAAAGTGGATATTGTAAGTGATCAAGTGACTTACTGCCACGATCTATTGAAATTTAGCCCAATTCATCTTAATTCATCTCTCCCACCTTGGACTGGTCTATACTGTCCACAAGCAAGTCGATACTTGCTCATGGTTAAAGCCTGGGCAAGCCTAGACCTGCTCTTGGATATGTCTGAAGTCAACTTGCTGATGGACAAACTAAAGGCAAATACAAACATTGCCCAAAGACAAGTTCGGGGACCACTCCAGGCAAAGTTGATTATGCAACCGTGCAAAGTCTCTAGTTAGAATTCAAAAATACGAACTAGTTTTAAACATTGGAAAGAAATTGTCAGATTTTCTTTACTAGTACGTATATAAGCTAAAAATATTGCGTCAACTAAAAATTTAGAACACCAATCACTTACTAGTGGAAAACAACAAATTTCGGGAGCAAAAATGCTCTGGCCCTTATCAAAATTGCTCAATTAACCATCAACATTAATCAACAAAGTCAGTCCCGGAGCGATTTCTCTATACAAATTAGCTCAGCGATTGATTTTCCCTATACATCCAATAATGATAAGCAAATCATAATGTTCATAAAAATCGACCTAGTGTCACCGAGGGAAAGAATTACTGATAGACAAATCATTTACCGAGTATAAAGATCTAGAACCTGAACTGGATTCCCCTGCCATTACATTGTTCATCAAAAATGCTGGCTGTCGAGGTAGAGGTAATTCGGCTGAAGGACTATTAAAATATGAAACAACGTTTGCCATTGTGGGTCGATCATTTGGTTTTTCTTGTACGCATAACAAACCAATCTGAATACACTTCATGACTTCGCTCTGCGGGCAAGCTTCTTTTAGATCTGGGTCCAGTATTTCTAACGGTGTTTGATCCCTCCATTGTCTCCAAGCCTGCAACATTTTAGTTGAATCAGATACTTCAGTCTTGTACTTTTTTCTGTTTCCTTATCATCTCAATACCCCATCAAAACAGTGACACTTGCATCCACAAAAAGAAACATAATCATCCTAGAAAATTAGAAATCTGCACTTACATGACTAATAAGGTCATCAACACTACGTGAGTCTAGTGATCGGGCATTTCTTTTTGCACTGATCACCTCCAATGTTATGACCCCATAACTGAATACATCAGACTTTTCAGAAAATTGTCCATGCATTGCATATTCTGGAGACATGTAACCACTATCAAAAAAAGAAAAAATGTTATCAGCGGAAGCAAAATAAAAGGGTCTCACATTCGACAATGCTTAGGCTTCAGTAAGCATAGTCTTAATATGGTTAAGAGTATCTTGGGGTTTTGCTCAAACTAGGGGGCTTGAAGTTAAATTGACGGACAGAGAAGATATTCCTCGTCTAAATTGAGCCAAGTCCCTTGCATGTATAAAGTTTACTTTAAAAACTTCTAACAAGCCCAAAGAGATAATTGAAAAATTAGGATTAGTTATATATTTTTACAAAACTGCTATTACTAAAACAGTCTTTTACTTCTAACATATTTACATCACATATAATAAAATTAAGATGGAGGATATTTAAGTTTTGGAACCACTTACTATGTTCCAACTATTCTTCTTGTTTTCCCTTGATCATCATCTATAGCAATTATTCTTGCCAAACCAAAGTCTGAAATCTTTGGATTCATACTATCATCCAATAACACATTATTAGGTTTAAGGTCACGGTGTATAACTTTAAGTCTTGAGTACTCATGTAAATAAAGAATTCCTCGCGCAATTCCTTCCAAGATTCTATAACGCTGAACCCAGTTCAGTAGTTTTCTCCTTTGAGAATCTGTACATGACACGTCGTTCAGGTAGTAAGAAAGCAGCTGCATAATATTCCTTCAATAACTTGAATCAGATTAATCAAATGCCTCCTTGAACAAATAAATAAATAAAAGTTTCATACCAAATAAAAAGTAATCAAGGCTTCTGTTGGGCACATATTCATAGATAAGCATCTTCTCTTCTGCTTCCCAGCAAAATCCTAACAAAGCCACTAGATTCCTGTGTTGAAGCTTGGCTATGAGTAAAATCTCATTTGTGAATTCTATCGAACCTTGTCCTGAGCTTGTAGAAAGTTTTTTAACTGCTATTTCTCGTCCGTCTTGAAGACGACCCTAATATTATGTCTCTTCTTAGTAAAGTTTAGCATAAAAAACAAGTATAGATATACTTTTACTACATTTATTTACCTTGTAAACTTCTCCAAATCCACCCTTGCCTATCTTATTCTGCTGTGAAAACTTGTTTGTTGCTGCTTCAACTGTAGCCAAACTAAATTGCAATGACTCCAAAGACTCGCTTTCATTTCCAACTGGGCCAACATAAAATTTCACGAGTAACAATGTTTAATTATCCATTCTTTTTATTAATTTGAAGAGCATGAGATTTTATTAAATTACTCACAGTGTTCTCTGAGAATAGTCCTATGACTCTTCCTTGATCTTCTCAGCAGGAAATAGCAGCCTAAACATAAGAGGATTACAAAAACAACAACAAGGATAACAATCATTGCAATTGTTCTTGATCCATATTTCTTCTTTCCTGCATAAATAATTGCCGGGAAAAAAATTCAACCTTGTGTAATTCAAGAACTAAGAAAGAAGAGCGTAATCATCACAAATACATAAAAAATTACTTTTAAGTGGGCGATTGTCCCAGGCAGAGGTATATGAAAAGAGATTATCATGAGGAGAATATAGCAAAGCTGTTTACTGAACACTCAATCAATGATTATGCACCCACTCATCCTCATATATATACCATTTGCAAATCGCTGAACCGTAAAATTTCTGAAATGCCAAAAATTAAGTACTCTATGCCTGACCTGTATCACATGAAAATTCACTCCATTAAGACCACTTAGTCTTATGTTTATCCATAAACTCTCAAGAGAATTTATTTGGTTCAATCCTCTGCAAGTTTTCTTCATTTGAAAACGCAATTAATTTGAACAAATAATCTTAATTGATCCGGGAAGGACTTGAAAATCAAATCAATAACACATAATATATAAAATTCTCCAGATACATTTAGCTGGAAATCATTGTTCTCACGAAACACAGAAATCAAACAGTCTTACTTGTTTGCGCTCACGTTTGCTTATATTCATAGAAATTAACTCTGAAGAAGTTATGTTACCAGGTGACGAAGTGGTTGAATTGTAAAACTGGAACAACTCGTATCTGACATTACAGGGCGAAAGCAGAACTCTCGCGCCTTGCTTTCCCTCACAGCATGCCGGAAGAACTCCAATGGCGTTCTGCAAACAGGTTTCACATTGTTCGGATGTCATTTCCTTCGAGCATTGCGCAAGCCCATACACAGTCATCGAGCTCGTAACTCTCACTTCCCCTGTTGCGAACTTCTTATCCGTCTCCGAATTCGCAGCTCGCGTGTCCAAATCATCCAACAATCTGAACAACGACTGGTTGAATCGGTTAATATCGGTGGTAGATACGCTCTCCTTATCCGTCAAATTCATTCCGGGAAAGACGCTCTCAAACCGGAAGAACATGTTGGTGAAACGCAGCGTGCAGACGTCGTACCAGATTACGGCCTCAGTTTGGTTAGGGCATCGGGAAATAACGTCTTTGGCGGCGGCGTTGACGCAATCGTGACAGGTGGGCATGGTGATATCGCCGCGGCAAAGGAAGAAGCCGTTGACGGCGTAGGGCGTGCCGAAGCCCATGACGGTATTGTAGGAACCAGAGGAATCTAGGGAGGCGTTGGAGGTGAGAGAAGAGAGGAGTACATTAATATTACGCTGAAATGTGGAGTTGGGTGGGTACGTGGTCGTGTCGTTGCAGTAATGGCCATTGTAAACGGGAGCTGCGAGAGCTCGCGTTGCCAAGAAGGACGTGAAAAGAAGAAGAGGATAAATTTTGAAGAGAAACATAGTCTGAGAACGAAAATAGTAACAACGGAATCAGTAGTTTTCTCAGCGATGGTTGAAAAATGGCCATGGAAATGGATTATGAATGAGAGTGAAGGATCAAGCTTTGACCATACTGTAAGTGGGAAGACACCAAAGTGGCGGCCAGAGCTGGTGCCTTTGACGAATGGCAAGTGGGAGTCCCGCCTGGCGGGCTTGATATGATAATATTTTGGGAAAATTCAATAACGTCCGACCAAGGCAATTAAATATAAAAAGTAACTAAGTCTTAAAAAATTTTGGTTATTTAATTCATTATCATATTATTTTTTAAAGTATGTATTGATAGCTGAAAGAGTAGTTGATAACTATCATGTGGTAGGTATTAATAATATATTTTTCTTTTTTTTTTGATAAAGAGGGAAAATAAAACTATTCATCTACATTACAAGCAGTAAAATCAAAAGCATCTGTTGAACTTAAAAGGTGGAGTCCAGCCGGAAGGGATAGAGCTCTCTTAGCAAGGTTGTCAGCTTTAGTGTTGTTCTCCCTCCTTGAATGACCGACTTCCACAAGCCATTCTCTCTTAAGCAAGTTCTGACAATTCTGAATCAATTCCCAGTTCTCATGAAGTTCTGGTGCACCATCATTTATCAGTCTGACTACTTCTAAAGAATCACTGAGTAACAAAACTTTTCTGTGACCCAGTCCCATGCACACTTGAGCCCAATAAGGCAAGCCCACAACTCCGCAACCAAAGGGTCGCCGTCTATCATACTGAACATAAAAGTTTCTTGAATTTGATGATCCGTGTTACGGATAGTCCCTCCACAACCTGCCTTCCCAGTCCTCTGCGAGAAGGCTCCATCCACTTGGACAGTAATGGTATCATTGTCTATCCTTTCGGTATTTCTTTCCTCATGAACAGTGGCACCACTAATATTGACCCTTCGTAGTTGAACTTTGGCCCTGTTGAAGCTTGACATGATTGCTCGAGCTTTGCTAATAAGTTCGTGAGTGTGGGTCAAATTGTTTTCAAACACTCTCTCATTCCTTCGTTTCCAAAGGAGCCAGCAAATATCCACAAAGACCTCCCTCCAGGGGCCATGACTATCCCCATTCTTAACAATATATTTTTCTAGTGCACCATAAAAATATAATGCATGAGTAGTTAATATCTATCGTAATAATAATTAATTATTATACCTTAAGTTGTTAATAACTACACTTTCAGTTGTTAATATATATTTAAAAAAAAAGACAATTTGATAATTAAACAAAATAAATTTCTTGCAATGAGATCCATTGAAACTTCATATTAATTTAATAATTTTAAGAAATTTTTTCATATTTAATTATCTTAGGTGAGGTTTTATTGCAATTTTTCTTAATATTTTTTAAATTAGATTTCTCCGTTAAAATTAGACACGTAATATGTGATTACGTGCATTTATTGTCCTTCTAACCAGGTCTTATGCATTTGGGCCACGCTCGGGCCACTGGGTCAGAAAAGTTTATTGAAGTCAATGGGCCTGATAATTTTTTGGCCCAATAAAATGTGCCTGACTTGACTCAATAAAATTATATTGACCAACCATCTCAATATTCTGTCTGTTATCTATAGGGACTATGTCTAATAAAAATGATTAGTCTTATATTTATTATCCAACAGTATTTTAAATACGATTGTCTCTAATAAGAGAATGCCTATGCTTTAGTAAACCAAAAAAAATTCTGTTCTCTACTTTTATTATCTTTTACGTGTGGAAAACGCTTGATGGATGCACAGACATTTGTAATGCGTTTATAACGAAAATATTGGTAACTTATATAGAAAATGAGCAGTTAGAAAACTTCAAAACAACGATGGCAAAAAAAAAAAAAAAAAGCTTAAAAACAACCTAAGCATACCTAGAACACTCAATTGCCACAAAATATATACTAACATTTTACTTCACATCAAACATGCTGTACCGTTCTATATTAAATATAAGATGATAAAGTCCTCCATCAAATAATTTGATAATTATAATAATTACATATCAAAATAAGTCAATCATTTATTATTGAGAGCAAAACGTTGCCAACTCGTCTAATAATAACTTGATCACAAGTTGACATATAATATAGTACAGAATAATGAACTCAAATAAAAAACTCAAAACTGTTGAGTGCAAGTTAGACCAACTCCCGTTTTGTCCTCGGAGTATGATTATGATAATAAGTGCAGTTAACTGGTTTTATAAAATAAAGTAGTAATTAATTACCATTGCTCAAGTCATGTACACATTTGCAGCCACTATATATAGAATAATATCTGGACGACAAGAAAACAGAAGGCATATATTCTTCTTCTTGTTTTTTTTCCCCAAAAATTTTCCTGAGGAATGATCGATTTGACGCGATTATATGATGTTGAAAGCTTCCAACTCACATAAACTATCGAGGGAAGAAAGTAGTCTTGGACATGTCATTGATGGAAGAAGGTGTGGAATCAATGGAGGATTGTCCTGAACTGCAATCTCCATCTACCATGTTCGTTGATTTCCCAGCACTGTACCTGAAGAGCGCAGGTTCTCTTGGAAATGGCAAATCAATTAATTGGGTATTGAGGTATGAAACAACTGTGGCCATTGTGGGTCTATCATCTGGGTCTTCTTGTACACACAATAACCCAATTTGAATGCACTTTATGACCTCAGTGTGAGAGTATGATTCTTTAAGGTTTGTGTCCAGAACTTCCAGTGGGGTGTGATTCCTCCATTGTCTCCATGCCTGAAACAATGTCCCAGATAAGGTAAGATTTACGTTTGTTCATTGTGATACTTTTCACTTTTCCTGTTATATATAGTTTAAATGGCGAGAAAATCTAGTGCTTCACTTATTTTGATGCCTTTGTGCTTAGCCCTTGCACTTTCTTTCCAGGGGCAAGGAATACATAGATATATATATTATACAACACTAAATAAGGAGTTATGCATTGCACAGAATTTCAGATTAAAGCAGATTTATGACTCGTTATTAATAAGGTCGTTTGTCATGAAACTTATGTGCTATGGGTATATAGAGATCTACATGGATAATTTATCTAACAAATATATCAAAATTTATTTAGCAAATGCGAGAGTTTAACACTCACCTGACTTAAAAGATCTTCAAGAATCTTTGACTTGGGGGATCGAGCATTTCTTTTTGCACTAATTATTTCTAGAATTATAACTCCAAAACTATATACATCTGATTTTTCTGAAAATTGTCCATGCATTGCATATTCAGGAGACATGTAACCACTGCATAAAGAAAAACAAAATCAAACTATATCAAAAGTAAGATAGAAGAAAATAATTATATTTATGAGGAAATAATTATTGAAGTTTTAGGTAACTTTAAACGCATTTTCTTTGGAAATCATGAAAGAGGATAAACGTAGAGTACACTCACTATGTTCCAACAATTCTACTAGTACTTCCTTGATTTTGATCTATAGCAACTATTCTTGCTAAGCCAAAATCTGATATTTTTGGATTCATTTTATCATCTAATAACACATTACTAGGCTTGAGATCACGGTGTATAACTTTGAGTCGTGAATGCTCATGTAGATATAGAATTCCTCTTGCAATGCCTCCGATGATGTTGTATCGCTCAGACCAATTCAATATCCTTCTCTTTGGATTAGAATCTAAAAATTTACCAAATAGTCATTATTATGGTTTAGAAAATGCATGAGTGCTATATAAATCATAAGTTAAAATCAAATTAAGTAAATATGTACTACTTTTCCAAATAGAAATGCTAAGCTTCAAATGAAGGTAACACAGAAGTTGGTCATTACCAAATAAAAAGAAATCAAGACTTTTGTTAGGCACATATTCATAGATCAGCATTTTCTCCTCTTCTTGCAAGCAAAATCCAAATAAGGCAACCAGATTTCTATGTTGAAGCTTGGCAATAAGTGAAATCTCATTTTTAAATTCCACCACACCCTGCTTAGATTTACTTGAAAGTTTCTTAACTGCTATTTCTCGTTTATCTGGAAGCGCACCCTGAAAACATAAATGTCAACAATTAGAACTTAACATATGCATATATATATATTTGCCTCCCCAAAAAACCAAAGAAAAGGCATATAGCTAGATAGCTAGAAAATAAAAGATATGCATTTCCTTTTACTATTGTTAAATTCATTGGATCACCTTGTAGACTTCCCCAAATCCACCTTTGCCTATTTTGTTAAGCTGTGAAAAATTGTTTGTGGCAGCTTCAATTGTAGCAAAAGAGAATTGCAACGACTCTGGAGCGGTAATTTCTTCTCCATCTATTATATATAGACAATATATATAAGTTCAGCAACAAATCTTTTAACCAAAGAAGAATGGCTGTTTAAATTAATGAACTTTCATTTGGAAGCATTAATTACTTACGATTTTCATTAAGTACTGCAGTCTTATGCTTCTTCCGTATTTTCAGAAGGAAAGCCCCTCCCAAACACAGCATCATAACAGCAACCGAAACTGGAACGACAATTAGAAGAATTCTTCGCGTTTCATTTTTGTCCTCGCCTGCGTAAATAATTTCTGGAAAGACTTAGTTTCCATCATCTAAAGCATCAGCAAGATGAAACCAACCAGCAAGATTAACCATACAAGCATTAATCGATTGCTAGTAAACTCATGGTTGATTTCTATCACAGTTATGACTAGATACATTTAATTACCTGAAGAAGGAGACAATGTTACTGCAGGTCCAGGTGATACAGCCGTTACATTGTAAAACGGATATAGTTCATATCTGATGTAGCACGAAGCAAGAAGAACCCTCGCCCCTTGTTTTCCCTCACAGCAATTACCGAAAATTCCAATGGCATTTCGCAGACATGTTTCACACTGATCACTGGTCAAGTCATCCGTGCACTGCTCTAAAGCATACAGCGTCGTCACCGGCGAGCTCGATAATATCGCTTGGCCGACGGCAAACTTCTTCACTGTCGGTGGTCTCGCAGCCTTCGTTGTCAAATCAGTCAATAAGTTGAATAACGAGACATTGAACTGTTCCAAGTCCCTGCCGGAGAATCTCTTGCCGTCGTCGAGGTTTACTCCGGGTGTGACGCTGTCGTACCGGAAATACTTGCCAGTGTAACGCAGCATGCACTGGTCGTACCAGATTATGGCCTCGGTTCGGTTAGGGCAACGGGTAGTTAAGTCCTTAGCAGCGGCGGTGACGCAGTCTTCGCAGGCGGTAGGGGAGATCACGTCCCCGCGACAGAGGAAGAGGCCGTTGACGGCGTCGGTGGTTCCGAAGCCCATGATGGTCATGTAGTAGCCGCCGAACTGGGAGGCGTTGGAGGTGAGGGAATAGAGGAGGACGTTGAGGTTTCGTTTGAATGTAGTGTTGGCGGGGACGATGGTGGCGTTTGAGCAGTAATGAGCTGTGTAATTAAAAGAAGCTTTGCTTGTGATGAAGAAGATGGTTAGGAACACCAAGAAGGAAGTGAATGCACAGAATTTGGAAGTCGCCATTTTTCTTTTGGCGTTGAGTTCTGATGTGTTGTTGCAGAACGAAATGTGACGATGATATTAGATTTTGTGCTATTTGATTATGTGATGGAAGCAACTGTGGGATAATAATAATCAAAACATGGAAGGAATATGAAAATTAAATGATGCTCTGACTAACCACAACGACAGCTACTCTATATACTTGAATATTTTAAATATATATATCATCTTTAATTAATATTATTTTTAGTCATAAATGCACCAGTTATTATCCAGTCTAACATAAAACTAAGCTTTTAATTTCACTATTTTAGGGAGAAAAGGAGAGGAAATGTGATCCCTCGATATTAATTAATAATTGGCCGGGTATTTAATTTGGAGGAGAAGTCAGTTGTGTTTGAATAAAATAATAAATTGAATGCTTCAAATGGGGCAGAATTTCTCTCTATCTCAAAGTCAATGAAAGATTGGGAAATCCATTCGTTGTTTTGTAAGCTTCCTAAGATATTATAATTGTTTGAACAGCTCCATTATCATTCTTTTCTTCTGTATTCCTGTTACGTATACAACAAGCACATATTTATTAAGCATTAAGCAATCTATTGAATCATATTATTGCCGATTTTTTAAAATATAGTTATTCATTTGAATCAACCACGTAAAACTAACCATTACTTGTAATCAAAGGACTAGTTCTAAATCTTTAACATATTGTCTGGTCAAATCCTTCACAGCTATCCATGACAACTATAATATTGAGGTTACAGATTGTGGTTTTTGAGGAAGGAAGCTTGGCCTAATACTACTTCGATTCCTATTATGAGTTACTTTTAAGGAAAAATTGATGGTTCTTATTATAATTCACCAAATAGATGTCAATTATATTTTGTTAAGATTGTCCAGATTTAAAGTTTAATATGATTTTCTTTTTTTATTTCTTAGAATGTAATTCGTGGTTTTAAATTTTTGTAAATTTAATAACTTAATTGTCTCTTTTTTATTTGGTTCTGATATTGTGATTGGAGAAGACAGAGAGGAATTAATGTTGAGATTAATTAATTATTTGTTGGTAGGAGCTAAGTATTCTGGTTGCTTAGCCAGCAGCGAACGCCAGACAAAGTATTGGCAAGGTGAGAGTGGATTCTCACGAATGATTCATAAGCGTACGATCATGTAATTGAGCATTGGACGCATCGAATATGGTGAGGTTTTAAGATCTTCTGTTTTGTCCCCTTCTCGTTTAGACCCCAAAAACAAAATTTTGTTCTACTAATTTGTTTGTAATCCGTAACCATGATCAGAAAGGCTCTTTCTACCCTAAAGGAACTGATTACAACATGAGTTATTAGATAACGTCTCTAAATTCTTTTACTAACAAAATCCTCATGTAGTAGGATTTGCAACCACCTTATCAGAATTACAATAAGGGCCAAAATAAAAAAATTACAAAACAAGTTTCAGAAGTTGTCATTCTTTACTTTATAATTTGTTGTTACAGGCTACTTAAATTGTTATTGGGACTTTTTCATAATTATTTCTCTTTTTTGAAACTTGATTGTAATTCTCCCATTAAATAATGCAAAAGCTCGTACGTTTAAAATGGAGGAGATATTTTCATCATTACATGAAGAAAATTTTAATTCATCAAAGGTATTCAATTGATACCCTACTGAATTTGATGAATAATTACAGATTCATTCGAAAATTTCAAATAACAGTTTTTAATGAGCTAAAATAAGACGCCAGTTAAATTAACTACATAATAATGTCACGGCTAAAAAATAATAAGAAAAACGATAAAATCAAGACTCTTTCCATTTATACATTGACCCAGACCCTCAAAAATCTTGACTAAAATTTTTTTTTAAAAAAAAGGCACCCGTGATATAGTAGAAGCACAGAAATTAGTTGCCACTAACTTATTTTCTTAATATAAGATTTAGTTTTAACTGCAATCTACATATTACATTAATAAGTGTATGTAATATCTAATATGTTGTGTGTGGTATCCTATACGGTGTGCGACTGCCTCCTTTTCATAACCTCGCGCCTCCTTGGTGCATCTGATAAATAAGTAAATAATAACAATAACAATATAATATTATATATTTATATTAATTAAAATCTCAAAATCACAATTATTAAAGTGAATAAAATTTATTTATAAATCCCCATCGGCATTTTAGTCTGTCAGATCTGGAGCATAATTTCTCAGGATGCCACCAACAATGATTCGCAGAGGATGTTTGTGCCTATCTTATTAGCCTAATTTTATTGTCGGTGGCAAAGATTCTTTTAAGCCATTAAAAAACTTGAAAAACAACCTAATTAAGTACGTATATAAATACTCAATTTCCACATAAGATACCAACACTTTACATCAAGCATGCATGCTTTACAAATCTATATTAGATATATGATGATAATAAAGTCCTCCTACATTTAATAATTTGAAAATCAATCACAACTATATATGTGTAGGGTGGTTCCATTTAAAATAGTTTTAAGTTGTATTGGTGTAAATAAGTCATAATTCCCTAATATATGATATTCTTTGCCAGGCGATTCGCGGGTGGAGACAGAAAATGAAGCAGGGGAAATATTACTCACACACACACACGATTAAGTCACACGTTGCCACGTCAAACGATTAGAGTATTAAACACAAATTTAGATGTCATTTATTAATGCAAAACTCGAAAAACCTATATAACAGACATTCCTTTCGGATCTAATATCTTCCAATCACCATTTTCCATGTTGGTACATACTCTCAGATTTAACTGGAACACAATTTCTCCAGACTCTATCTATATCTCTATCTTAGCCCGCCTATTCAATGCTCATCTTATTGATGACCACTATAAACTTATCAGATTTAGACCATTTATATCTAATTTAAACGGTTTAGATTTAAAATATTTAATTATTTATTTTTAAATAAAAAATTATTTTTTGAAAGAATAATAGCTAAGAGATTATCTTTATTTTAGATCCTTTACACATTAAAATAATTATTTTGGATAAAAAAATTAAAAAAATAAATCCAGATTATCCAAATGAGATATGTACAGTCCAAATCTGATGAGTTTGTGGTGCTCATAAAAAAAATGAACATGAAACTGATTCCCCTAGCCTACCTATCAGCCTCTATTTCATTGCAGAATCTCACCATTTCCTTCCGTCACATCGTAGATTCCAACTTCAATAACAAACTTTTAAAACCTTATCTCCGTGATATATCAAAATAAGTCAATCGTTTATTCTTAAGATTGAGAGTGAAACTTTGCCAACTCGTACCTAATAGCTCTGCCACAAGTTGACATATAAGTATAAATATGATAATAAGTGCAGTTAAATGGTTTCATAAAACAAAGTAGTAATTAATGACTATTGCTCAAGTCATGTACACATTTGCAACCACTACAGAAATTCTAAATGACAACAAAAATATAGAAGGCACATATACAAGTAAATCCCACACCAAATTATTTGATATAGAAAGCTTCCAACTGACAGAAACTATCGAGGGAAAAAAGTGCTCTTGGACATGTCATTGATGGAAGAAAGTCCTGAGCTGCAATCAATGGACGGTTGTCCTGAGCTGCAATCTCCATCTTCCATGTTGGTTGATTTCCCAGCACTGTACCTGAAGAGTGCAGGTTCTCTTGGAAATGGCAAATCAATCAATTGGGTATTGAGGTATGAAATAACTGTGGCCATTGTGGGTCTATCATCTGGGTCTTCTTGTACACACAATAACCCAATTTGAATGCACTTTATGACTTCAGTGCGAGAGTATGTTTCTTTTAGGGTTGACTCCATAATTTCCAGTGGGGTATGATTCCTCCACTGTCTCCATGCCTACAGGAAAGTCTCAAATAACATAATACATTTCGTTCATTGTTCCATTCTGCTCCGTTTATGAATTATGTATATAACGGATAAGTCGATTAAAAAAAAATATCAAAATTTCATTAGAAGGTATATTAGCTAGAGTTTAACACGAACCTGGCTTAAAAGATCTTCAAAAATCTTTGAAATCGGGGATCGAGCAATTCTTTTTGCACTAATTATTTGCAGGATTATAACTCCAAAACTATATATATCTAATTTTTCTGAAAACCGCCCATACATTGCATATTCAGGAGACATATAACCACTGCACAAACAAAAACAAAATCAATACAAGAAATAATATAGAAGGAAATAACTATGTTTATGGAGCAACAACTGTTGAAGTTTTGAGCAACTCTAAGAACTCATTTTCCCTAGCATGCACGAAAAAGGATAAAGGTCGAGTATACTTACTGTGTTCCAACTATTCTATTAGTAATTTCCTGATTTTGATTTGTAGCAACTATTCTTGCTAAGCCAAAGTCAGATATTTTTGAATTCATGTTATCATCTAACAACACATTGCTGGGCTTGAGATCACGATGTATAACTTTGAGCCGTGAATACTCATGTAGATATAGAACTCCTCTTGCAATATCTCTTATGATCTTATAACGTTCTGACCAATTTAATATCCTTCGCTTTGGATTAGTATCTAAAAGTTCACCAAAGAGTATATTATTTTATGTTAGAAAATGTACGAGTGCCATACTAATGATCATTAAGTTAAAATCAAGTTGAAAATAAAAAGTACTATTCCAAAATGCTAAGCTTCAAATGAAGGCAAAAAAGTTGGTCATACCAAATAAAAAGTAATCAAGACTCTTGTTAGGCACATATTCATAGATAAGCATTTTCTCATCTTCTTCCAAGCAAAACCCAATCAAGGCAACCAGATTTCTATGTTGAAGATTGGCAATAAGTGAAATCTCATTCTTAAATTCCACCACACCCTGCTTAGATTTACTTGAAAGTTTCTTAACTGCTATTTCGCGTTTATCTGGAAGCACACCCTGAAAATATAAATGTCAACAATCAGAACTTAACATATACATATGTGCGCCGCAAAAAAAAGCATATATAGATAGAAATATAAAATATACATTTCCTTTTGTTATTGTTAAATACACCGATCACCTTGTAGACTTCCCCAAATCCACCTTTGCCTATTTTGTTAAGCTGTGAAAAATTGTTTGTCGCAGCTTCAATTGTGGCAAAAGAGAATTGCAACGACTCTAGAGGAGTAAGTTCTTCTCCATCTATTATACATATATATAATCGTATACCAAGTTGAATTTCAGCAATCTTTTAGATAAACCAAAGCAGAATAGTTTAAATTAATGAACTTTCATTTGGAACATTAATTACTCACGGCTTTCATTAAGTACTGCAGTCTTATGCCTCTTCCGTATTTTCAGCAGGAAAAACCCTCCGAGACAGAAGATCATAACAACAACTGAAACTGGGACAACAACTAGAACAATTCTTCGTGTTTCATTTATCTCCTTTCCTGCTCAAATAATTGCTGGAAAACTTTAGTCTCCATCTAAAGCATCAGCAAGATGAAACCAACCCAGCAAGATTAACCATAGAAGAACTAATCGGTTGCTAGTAACCTCATGGTCGATTTGTGGCACAGTTATGAACAAATACATTTAATTACCTGACGGAGGAGGAAATCTTACAACAGGTCCAGGTGATACAGCCGTTACATTGTAAAAGGGGTACAGTTCATATCTGATGTTGCACGAAGCAAGAAGAACCCTCGCCCCTTGTTTTCCCACACAACAATTACCAACAAAAGTTTCGATGGCCTTTCGCAAACATGTCTCACACTGATCACTGGTTAAATCATGCGTGCACTGTTCTAAAGCATACAGCGTCGTCAACGGCGAGCTCGATAATATCGCTTCGCCCACAGCAAACTTCTTCACCGTCGGTGATTTCGCAGCCTTCGTACTCAAGTCATTGAGTAAGCTGAATAAAGAGAAGTTGAACTGTTCCAGGTCCCTGCCGGAGAAGATCTTACCGTCATCGAGGGTTACCCTAGGAACGGCACTGTTGAACCAGAAAAACTTGTCGGTGTAACGCAGCATGCACTGGTCATACCAGATTATGGCCTCGGTTCGATTAGGGCAACGGGAAGTTATGTCATTGGCAGCGGCGGTGACGCACTCTTGGCAGATTGTGTGGGAGACGATGTCGCCACGGCAGAGAAAGAGGCCGTTGACGGCGTCGATGGTTCCAAAGCCCATGATGGTCATGTAGTAGCCGCCGAACTGGGAGGCGTTGGAGGTGAGGGAGTAGAGGAGGACGTTGAGGTTTCGTCGGAATGTGGCGTTGCGGATGGTGGCGTTTGAGCAGTGATGAGCAGTGTAATTAAAAGAAGCTTCGCTTGTGAAGATTGTTAGGAAGACGAAGAGGGAAGAAGTAAGTGCGTAGATTTTGGAAGTAGACATTTCTGTTTGGTCTTTTGGGTCATGATATGTTGGAGAAAGAAATTAAATGCGACGATGATATTAGCTTTGCGGAGGGATGGAATTTATAGAGTGAAGTCAAAGGTCAATGGAAAATTTTTCAAGACCCAGGAGCATTTTTTCATTTTCTTGAAAAAAAAGAGTGAATTCGAGGAATTTAATTGATATTAACTTCTTTAGAGGGGAGAGTACTTGTCACTTTCCCAGAATGTTATATTTGGCTATAGTTGTAGAAAACTTAAAAAAAATACTACCACGTACTCTTATTTATATTTTTTTTAATCAACAACACACTACTTACTTTAACCTCTAGTTAACTCGCATCAAATAACGTTTTGCTTATTTTAGGATGAAAAACTTAATCTGCAAGTCCTTATTTTAGCCCATGCAAAATCTATGTGGCAATGTGTGTGCCTGGTCAGACGTTCCTCAATGCCACATCATACTCTTGTCAGCTTAAACTAACAGAATCTTGACGGAAGAACTGGCACCGGTAACTGAATAAACAATAAGAATTGAATAAAAAGGGAAAAAAAATTATAAGGACCTTATCCAAAACTTGGTAAAACTGTAAGCACTCACAGATTAATTTTTCCTTTTAGGAATAAAAAAGAAAGAATACCTTCCCGACATTCACTATGAATGTTTTTTTTTTGGGAGAATTATATTCAAGTCCCACAGAAGAAAAATAATCATTAAAAAAGTTTCAATAACAATCTGAGCAGCCTATAATGACAAGTCCTACAATGAGAATGACAACATCTGGGACTTGTTTTTCAATTATTTTTCTTGCTTGGGACCTCATTGTAATTCTCTCTTCTTTTTTTTTTTTTTTGCCTACAAATAGAAATTGTGTCGTATCATTTCATCAAAGAAAATTATACAAAAGCAACTTCCTATCTATCATCTTTAATAAATTATTACCTTCGATTGAATAATATGAGTAAATTAAAAAAACTATTTAAGTTAACTATTTGTACTAAATAGGTGTTCTCTTTCCTAAAATATCATTGCTAATCAAGTATATTGGTTAGAATTACTATTATTACAAGGATTACTTTAAAAAAAATAAATATAATAAACAAAATAGATTGGGATCTTATATTTCTAATCAAAATAAAAATCAAACGAGTTCTTATATTAAGGACCGGAGGTAGTAAAAAAGAATTATAATCAAAGGTCTGATAATGCGCCATTCATTGGCCAAAAAATTGGCATCCTTTATTATGCTTTTCTTCATTTAACACAAAATTAGAAGTAGTTGACAATTCATATGCAAGAGTTTTCTAGTGGAACCTCAAACGTAAATACGAAAAATGTGGTAGCAAGTCGTATTCAATGTAGCGTGGAGCTAATTATTGTTTAGAATCATTAATTGTTCTTTTAATTTGCAGGATGATCTAAGTATTTCTGGTAGGTGGCCCAGCAGCGAACATTAGAATATTAGTGACTATTCTAACACACCATTAGTTAGTGTTAGTAACTTAGTATTGACCATATAAAAACCATTGCGAGCTTGCAACGCATCTATATATCATACACGCTAATTCCTCCTGTACTTAATCCAAGAGTTAATTAAGATATTAAATTTAATTCTAAGTACGAGATCTCAATTTATTTTCTCACTTATATCTATCTCTTTTTTTCAAACAAATTTATTTAACTTATAAATTAGTATATAATACAATGTTATGTAGGAAGATTTTAGAGAGACATCATATCATAGTTATTATAATTAACTAATTAATTTATTTAACTTTTTAAATCTATCTAAGCTAGTTAAGTAACACGAGAGTATAGTATAATACTGCATAACATTCTAAGCCGAGTGAGAGGGATCTTCTATCCGAAGCAAACTAATTAGAATATCAGCCACTATGTCATGTCTATTTTGTTTAAATTTGAGCAATATTTGATGTCTAATTTTTGGGGTATGGGCGCATGGACTATGCTTTTTCAAATTTGTTTTCCACAATTGTATTTTTAATAATTTTTAAATTTTTTAAAAGTTAAATAGACATTATCTTTTATACAAAAAAATATAATTGTATGCTTAACATAACAATAAAAACAATTTAAAATTTTGCTTTTGATATCTATAAATGTATATATTATGCAAAAATTAATTTTATAGACCAAAATTGAATTAAAAAAATTCATTTTCATAACATATATCTAGAAAATAATGAACTTTATCAAGTATAACTTAATCTCGTTTACAAAATTTATATATCTTAATTGATTATATGATATGTTTCCGATAGCTACAGAACAACCATTTATATGTATGTGTATATAAAATAGAGTTAGACAGTGGGAAGACGCCTATGTATTTGGTGAACAATCTATGGAGGTGTTACAAAAATATATGGAGCAAAGAAAAGGTTTTAAAAAAAAACTTAAAAAGGACTCGGGTCCCTGTTAGGTTGTTGGCATATTATCTGAAGTTTTCTTAATCATAATAAAACAAATTATTATCTTGCTGTTGGAAAACAATCTTATATCCGTTATTCTTTCTTTTTTTTTGGGATAACAGGCGGGGCACTACTGCGCACGCATGCATAGAAGAGTATAAAGACTGAATATTTTAATATTAATAAATATAAAATTATGCCTTTAATTTTTTTTTTAATTTTTATGAACCAATTTCTAGCCAGGTTTGCCATAGGTTAAGGTGCAAATTTATTCAAAAAATTTTCACTCAAAAATATTAGGTACCTAAAAGTCTTTTAGTTAATATTTACATTAGTTTTTTTTAGTGTTATAAGATAAAATTGTATGATTTTAAACTTTCAGAGCAACATCAAATAAAAAATTTTCGAGTATAGAACGATCCCAAGTAAAAATTTGTGGAGCAAACTTGCATCTTAGCCTTGCCAAATTCAGGGCATGTTGGGCCGCTTTTGGACACGGCCGGCACAAAACAACTCATCTCTGTTGATGCTTTCTAGCTTATTTTTCCAAATTATTTCTGCGACCAAAGAAAACAAAAGACACAGCTCAAACAACTTTCTATGTTCTGTTTTCGTGTGGCTGATGGCAGAAACCTACAAGAAGCTATGGCAGCAACCCAATAGGCTAACAATTAAAGGCTTTTAGCTCCAAGTTCCAATCGTTGATACTTTGTACTAAGCCCTCCTAAAATTACTTCTTTTGATCTTAAATAAATTTGCCCCTTGTTAAGTCATCCTACCAAATTCAAATAACACCATAATCTGATCACTTCCGTCGTCGTAAAATTAGATTATTCGCATTCTCTGTCATAGTACTGAGACAGACCTTACAAAAACGGAGCTCAGACCATAGAATCGAACATGTAGATTGGTCAGAATCAACAACATTGTTTTGCCTGTTTGGTGTTCTTCTGCCCAGTAAGGATGCAGGCTTTCGAGGCAATGACAAAGTAACAGAGTAACTGTTGAGCATGAGTACTATATTTGCCATCGATGGTCTGTCAGAAGGGTTCTCCTGAACGCATGATAAAGCAATATGGATACATCTTATGACTTCATTTCTTGAATAAGAACCTCTCAGTGTTGGATCCAACAACTCCAGAGGTGTTTTTCGTGTCCAGTTATTCCAGGCCTGGGATTACACAAGGAGTCAGTGTTCAGAACTGGAATCTATCAAAGAGTGAAGTAAAGATGTTATAGAGTTTTTACTTACATAGCTTAAGAGGTCATTGGCTTGATGTGATTGGTACAAATCAGTGTTCTTCTTGCCAGTAATAATCTCTAAAACCAAGACACCAAAGCTAAACACATCTGATTTTACAGAAAATTGTCCGTGCATCGCATACTCTGGAGACATGTAACCACTACAAAGAAACAAAATAAATCCATTTAGCATGGAATAATAATGAAAAACTCCAAATAGAAACAAAGGAATCATGAGAAACTTACAAGGTGCCAACTATTCTTCCTGTATTTGCTTGAGCCTGATCACCTTGGAAGATTTTTGCCATACCAAAGTCTGAGATTTTAGGATTCATACTAGCATCTAGTAGGACATTACTAGCTTTGAGGTCACGATGAATTATTCTAAGTTGAGAATCTTCATGGAGATATAGCATTCCTCGAGCAATGCCTGCAATAATCTTGTAGCGTTTTGGCCAATCTAGTCTTGTTTTCCTTTCAGGATCTAAAAGTTTGAGAGAAGTGAGATTTTCAGGCTAGTAATTGCTGGATTATGAATAAACATGATAACACCGAGGGATTATCATAAATTAGTTGTGCTTCTATTAAGGTCTGGTATAATTATAACAATTAATTATTGACCTGAAGGACTAGATTTATAGAGATCCAAAGCATTGGAAGAGTTGTCAAAAGATTCTTACCAAATAGGAACCTGTCGAGGCTTTTGTTTGGGACATATTCATAGATAAGTATCTTCTCTTGCCCTTCTAAGCAAAATCCCAACAACCTCACTAAATTCCGGTGTTGAAGTTTGGCCACAAGAGCAGCTTCATTTCTAAACTCCATAGCACCCTGCAAGGAGGTTACCGACAACCTCTTCACAGCTATCTCCTGTCCGTTTGGAAGGATGCCCTGAAAACATGATCAGGATTAGACCAACTTTTCTTAGTTTAGCAGAAAATTATGACAGCAATTTGCAACTAATAAGCTGTGTACCTTATAAACTGCCCCATATCCACCTTGGCCAATCTTGTTCTTATCTGAGAACTTTTTCGTGGCAGCTTCTATGGCTGCCAATTCAAATTGCAAAGACTCTATTTCTGAAATATCAATCCCAGCTTCAACCCAAAAAAAAATAAAGAATCTGTCAGCCATCAGATTGCCTAAACCATATCTAACCTTGATCTCAAAACGAAACAGGAACAATCCAAGGAAATACTACTTACCATCCTCTGTGAACGAGTTGTACTTCTTGCTTGCTCTCTTACGGAGGAAACAACAACCCACAACGAGAAGTGCCAAAGCAACAACAATTGGAACAACAATCGCAACAATCATTGAGATATTTCTACTTCCTGCTCAAAAAATTGTCACTGTAAACCCCAATATCGACATGATTTTGAAGAAGCTATTATACGATCCTTACCTGAAGTAGGAGGAACCAGTGGTTCAGAGGAAACGTGGGTCATATTGTAAAACCGATAAAATCACAAACAGAGCCGGCCGAGTCAGGAGTGCACTGTGCGAGGCTGTACAAGGTTTCCGACGACGTGAAGTTCACTTCCGCCGTAGCGAACCTCTTCCCTGTGGACCCTGTCTGGATATTTGCTTTTTCTGTCACATTATTCAACATGTTCGACAGCACGCGGTCGAATCGATCCCGTTCCGAGCTAGCTATGGTGTTGGTGTTTCTCAAACTCACATAAGGAACCATGGGGTTCAAGTTCCCGTTCGTGTAACGAAGCATACACACATCGTACCAGATTATGGACTCTGTTTGGTTTGGGCAGAGGCGTCTTATCTCCTTGGATGCAGCGGCAACGCAAGGCTGGCACACGGCGGGGGTGACGTCGCCGCGACAGAGGAAAAGACCGGTGATGGTGGAAGGGGTGGACGGGGACACGGTGGTACGGTAGTAACCGTCGGGTAGAGAAGCGTTGGAGGTGAGGGAAGAGAGAAGGAAATTCAAATTGGCTTGGAATGGACTGTTGGGTCCGAAATAGCTTCCATCACTACAGGAATAACTTCTAGGTTCTGGAGCAGCTTCGGGTGTGAAGCTCAGAAATCCCAAGAGAGAGAGGACGATGAAGACGGACATGGTGGTGAACAGAAAATTGGATTGGACATCAAAATCACCGATCAGTGCTGATTATGTTTTGTTTTGTTTTGTTTTGTTTTGTTTTTTCCAGGACATGCACTAAATGGAGGTAGACTGGTTGCCACTGACATTAAATCAAGTCAATGCTGAGGGGATGGAAAGTCGGAAACAATTGTAGTTGTGGGCCCACTTTGACTTGTCTAACACGAACCAGAGAGGTCAAATGCATTCCTTCCCCACGCCACATGTGCTTTGATTACCCTCACCTTGCAACCAGTGCCTCTTTGCCCAATTAGGTGATCACCGTTACAATTACTATGCCTCCTGCAGTTGATATAAATATAATGGCTCATCGGAGTTCAATTTAGGGTGTGTTTGGATGAAACCAAACTATGATTTGGAAAAGTGATTCTGGAGAATAGATTATGGGGAGAATAGATTCTGTGAAGAATAAATTTTGTAAAAAAGTGATTCTGAGAAGTGAGAGTGTTTGGATAGTTGTTATCAGAAGCACTTTTTATATATACAAATTACTAAAAAAAAGACATAAGTTAATATAATAATTACAGAAAAAATAGATTTTATGATATATTTTAATTTGAAGGAATAAAATTGTTAATAATATATTTTTTACTAACATAATTAATAATGCATAAGATAATATAATTAATAAATAATTAATGTGTATATATATTTATAAAATATAAGATTAAATATGTTTATAAAAAAATATGTTTATAAAAAAAATAACAAGATACATATCATATAAGCCTTCACATTTTCCCTTTTTTCTCCAAAAGCAAAAAAATTTTGCTTTTTCCAAAACCATGGTTTTGACCCAAAACCATGGTTTTGGTTTTTGGTGGGGTGTTTGGGTGATTTATTCTCCAAACCATGGTTTGGGTCCCCAAACCATGGTTTGGGGTGTCACCCAAACACACCCTTAATTCAAAATATAAGAATTTAATTAACTTTATTTTTTAAAATTAATTTTTTAAAAAAATTCTTACTCCTATTGATTATAAGAAGTCTTATAAAGGGTAACTCTAATGTTCATGATTAAATAAGGTAGTTTAGTAAAATTTAAAACGGATTTATTATAAATAAATAATTTAACTGAATTTTTAATTTTTTTAAAATTAGTGATCTAATTTTTATTAAAAAAAACAGTAATTAAGAAGAATACAAATATTTTTAATGGAGAAAGAGACATTAGAACTCGTGAAATATATCAATCTCAAAATTGCTGATTTAAATGTTTTATTTCCTATGAAATCCTCGAGGATCATTTTCAACTTTATTTTTCTTCAGAAATAACCTAATTAACAAGTTTCTAAAAAAACTATTAGTACTCTCTAGAAGTGTTTTAATTTTTACATTCAGATAAACTCAAACCCGTGTTTGACGGGGGAAAAAATAATCCCAAGCCCGTGACCTGAGCTTAACGGTTATAATATGTTCCACTAAAGCCTGCATTTGGTGGCCTTTTCAAAACAAATTGTGTTAATTATGCGAGTTAAATGCCGAATCTAATAACTATAGTATCTATTAGCTAAATAAGTCTTTTCATATATTATTGTGAAATTTCAGTAGTTTTTTTTATATTTTTTCATGCTAAAAATTGAAATATTAGCTACAATTTTTTCACATATTAATGTCAACTTTAAAAAAATTGTTTTGAAATTCATTTGTGTTTATGTGTGTGTGTGTATACGTGTGTGTGGTTAAACAAGGTTTTTAAATCTCCCATATTACAAGTTGAAAATTCAATCTCATATCTTCCACAATTGAGGGTCAAGTTTTTTTTAATCTTCCATAGGAATTTAACACTCATTTTCCACAATTAAATATTGACTATATGATAATCTGCAATTAATCTTAATCTCATAGCTTTTAACATGAAACATCTTGGAGGAAAAGATACGTAATTTCATATAATTGTTACAGGCAAAATTAAACTGATATATTGCTTTTGACGTGCCACTTTCTCTTCTATTTTCTTTGAACGAAGGGATAACAAACATTTTTGCATTATGCCTGGATATTTGAACAAGCCTGAATATTTGTAAATCAAGCAACACTGGCATTCTAAAAGCTCTCAGAACTCTAAATTTCAAATCATGCACATATAACTCGGAGGTTATGAACTCTTCGAGAGAAAGCCCTTTGAGTAAATTACATTGCGTGCAGCACTTGGCTTAGCTTCCAGACTCTGCTTCATCAGAATGATATCTTGAACTTGAAGTGATCTCCAGCAGAATTAGCCAGTTGGCCTCATCCTTGAAGAAGAAAGTAATTGAGATTGCGTGCCAAAAGGTCCTGGTACATCTTCCATTATTTGTTATGAAGCTGCAAAAGGCCTGAAGTTAAGGACTTGGAACTAAATACATGGACTCAACTAGATTCATTCAAAAACATAAATGAATTAGATAAACGCCCACTTGATGGAACATGAACCTATTATCGGGGGTAAACTTCAGTAATGGATGCTTCATTTGTAGACCATAGGATTGAAGAGGTAGATTGGTCAGAATCAACAACATTGTTTTGCTTTTCCCTGTTTGGTGTTCTGCGCATGAAAGCTGCTGGCTGTCGAGGTAATGACAAAGTAACAGAATAACTGTTGAGCATCAGTGCTATATTTGCCATTGAAGGTCTATCAGAAGGATTCTCCTGAACACATAATAAAGCAATATGAATGCATCTTATGACTTCATTTCTTGAATAAGAACCTCTCAGTGTTGGATCCAATAACTCCAAAGGTGTTCTTTGTGTCCAGTTGTCCCATGCCTGTGGTTACACAAAGAGTCAGAGCCCAAATTTGGAATCTACCAGTTGTTACTAACCAAAATCTATATTTGAGACGTATTTGCAGCTGACATTGAAGGAAAAAGATGGTACACTTGCTGAGTTTTCACTTACGTAGCTTAAGAGGTCATCTGCCCGACGTGATTGATTAAAATCAGTGTTCTTCTTGCCAGTAACAATCTCCAAAACTAATATACCAAAGCTGAACACATCTGATTTAACAGAAAATTGCCCACGTATTGCATATTCTGGAGACATATAACCACTGCAAAGAAAGATTATTAATCTATAGGTTGAGAGAAAATAATGAATAACTCTTGCCAAAGAAAATGTCTAAAACTTACAAGGTTCCAACTATTCTTCCTGTGTTTACTTGAGTTTGATCTCCGTGAAAGATTTTTGCCATATCAAAATCTGAAATTTTTGGATTCATATTGGTGTCCAATAAAACATTACTCGCTTTGAGATCACGATGTATTATTCTAAGCTGAGAATCTTCATGAAGATAAAGAATTCCTCGAGTAATTCCCATTATGATCTTGTAACGCCTTGACCAATCAAGCATTGTTTTCTATTCAGAGTCTACAAATCCATCAAAGTGAAATTATCAAGTCAATAAAAACAGGATTACTTGGTAGAAAAGGGTAACATCATGTGAATACTAAGAAATAACTCTGCTTTTGAATATTTATATCAACGAAATATTCGCATCCAAGACTTGATTTGTATAGGGATGTCAAAAGCTAGAAGTATTGAGAAAAGGTCAAAGTTCAAACCAAATAGAAAGTGATCAAGGCTTTTGTTTGGGAGGCGTTGGAGGTAAGAACAGAGAGGAGGACATTCAAATTAGCTTCAAATGAGCTATTGGGTTTTTATGTGAGTGAGTCTGTACAGGCCTTGCTGCTGAAGATAGGAGATGCTTCGCTTGTGAAACTCAGAAATGGAAACAGAACGAGAAGGATGGAATGTGCTGCAGAGAATTTGGGGAAGGACATATTGCTCAACAATAGTTCTCTTCAGCTCCAACTCTGATGAAAGGACAAAGGCATATAAGTTTATGGCATTCAGTTAACAACTCTATCGATGTCGTTACCTATTGATTTCAATCTTTCAGGCTTTGCGTTGAGCTGTGGGTCGATTGAGGGGAACGCCATTTCTGATACAAGTCAACAAAGCACCTTTCTGACGATTATTTTTCTATATTAAGGCTGCGCTGGGAAGATCCTTAGTTACTGCTATTTTTTGTCCTAATTATAAGATTTTATTGATAACTTACAAATAAAATTTAGTTATTTATAATTAGGATTGAAGGTACTACTCTGGTATTAAATATAAGACTCTTTTCGTAGTGTAATTTATACTATAAAAAAGGTCTTATATTTAAGACAGGACGAGTAGTATTTAATGAGAAGGAAACTCATGCATATTCATATATACCTAGAACAATATCCTATCTAAACGGTAAAAATACATTTGTTAAACTTATTTTCAAAACAGTAACAGTAATTTCTACTGGTGTTTGTGAAATTAAATGATTTCATAAATAAGTTTTCTAAAAACTTTTACTTAAATAATTTTTCGAGTAATTAATTTTTTACAACAAAAAAACTCTGAAATTGTTGTGCTGAATGTAGTATCCAACCCGGTCTAAACATGTTAAAAGTAGTTTTTACAAACACGACTTTTTAATCATTAAGATTAAGTTCTTAATTTCATTTAAAAAAACTGAATACTTTTCTCTCTCCATTTTTTTTTTGGACAAAGAGACAAAGTTTTTCAGAAAGTTAATCTAAATTCTCCATCCATCAAAAATCATGATAAGAACAGGAGAGTGTTAGTTAGAGTCCTATCATGCCACAGTTGCCAGAGAGTATTATTTTTGGGGGGTTAACATCATGGAAACATTGCCACATAGATATATATTGCATATTCAGGAGATATATAACTACTACTGCGCAAACAAAACAAAATCAATACAAGAAATAATACAAAAGGAAATAACTATGTTTATGGAGCAACAATTGATGAAGTTTTGAGCAACTTTAAGAACTCATTTTCCCTAGCATGCACGAAAAAGGATAAAGGTCAAGTATACTTACTATGTTCCAACTATTCTATTAATAATTCCCTGATTTTGATTTGTAGCAACTATTCTTGCTAAGCCAAAGTCGAATATTTTTGGATCCATGTTATCATC